AGTCTTTAGTTCTCAGTCTTTAGTATCTTATGTGCTGCTAATCACCGGAAAAAAACTGGTTTACAACATGATATAAACAATTTTCCAAGAAGGGCATTTAGATGTTTACAGGCATTTTGTTACATTAATTTTGATTTAATGTTAGTCTTTCAATGACGGCTGGACAATGTATATAGTGGTTGAGAAGGCCTGGTCTACAAATACAGATGCTTCAAGGATGTAGTAAATTGATGGAGATAGGTCGTATTGCCTCCATGAATTTTTTTATGACGTTTCAGTAGTATAACATCTGTATGGTATGGTGTTATTAGAACTGCTATTAAAAAAACCTCAAATAATTCAAATAATATTCATCATAAATTGTTGGTCATTATACACATTGAAACTATTAAATGCATCTATTCTTAAACTAAAACAAAATCGAAATCAGAGAGAGTTTGTTTTGGGTCAACTATAACAAAGAAGATTCAGATGAATATTTGTGCTAAGCAAACCATTCGTAAAATAATGATAAATAAAATAAAAAGCTTAATCTGATTCTGTTTAAAGTTATACTCCAAGATCTTTCATCCAGGTGTTATTTTCCATTTAAAGGAAAGTAAGGATTGATTAAAAACCCTATTTTTTTTCCTCAATGCAGTTTTAGCAGTGAAAAAGATAAAAAGTATGATGGTTGCTTTCTATGTGTGAAGTAACTCATAAAGAGGGCAGGTTAATTTAAACACTTGATTTTTAATTTCCCTCTCACTACTACCTCCAGGGGTAGCAGATATTGTAGAGTAGTTAAAATCAGTCAGTTTATTAAGAGCCTACATAATCTTCACGTTCAGTAGAAATCATGCTAGAAGATAAAGTGTGAAAAGGCTCACATTCACTTCACAAAATGATCCAGTCTCCTGGTGGGTCTGTACCAATTAAATTTTCAGGAGGGGACAGGGAAATGTTTATTTGAAAGCTAGCCTACATGAACTTCATTACATTACTTTCCACAGCGGGGGAGTAACATCGATTCACTGTCAAACACCACAAAAAAGCAGACAAGAAATAGTAAAAATATGGCAACCAGGCCTCTATATGGCATCTGTCTTGAGTTTTTTTTCTCTCAGAAACCCAGTTGTTTGATACTATATTAAAATAAACATGTAATCTTAAAATAGGACCCTCATAATGTAGATATTCTAATAGATTTAAACATCAGAGGCATCATGTTTTAAATTTGTGCAAGTCTTCTCTTTATAAGATTTATTTTCATAGAGATATATTACCTAAACAGGGTCAGAATATTTTTAATGCCTTTTCTAATAAAGAGAAAAGTAGTCAGATAGAGGAAAAACCATGTCTTCCCTTGATTATTATCTAACAATTTCCCTCATACAGAGTGTGGCACACATCAAAACAATAGGAACTGTATGCCACTTTATTCCAATGTTACTATTAAACAACACTGAAGTTTAATACTTAAACTTTTCCCAAAAGAACTATAGTGCAAAAAAACAACCACCACCTTTCTTTCTGTTTTGCTGAAGTGAATAGATGATACCAAAGTAATTGACAGAGGAGGAAGATATAGGTAAATAAGCTTTGACTTCCTAAATATTTTCTGCCGATAGATGCCAAAGTAGAGATGTAGCTATAAAGCTCTCTTTTTATTAGAATATTTAAAAATATTTTCCCCTCTGCTCAACAAACAAATTATGCTGATATTAAGATTACCTATTTAAAAATTTTAATTCAGGGAGAAGCAAGGGGTTTTGTATCTGCAGTATCGAAGTTGTCACATACCTATTTTTGGAATTCCTCAAGTAGCATACATGCAATCATGAAATACTTTGAAATCACCAAAACCACAAAAGGGGCAGTCTGCATAAATACAGTATGTCTGGGTTAACATAGTTGAACCAACTAATTTATAAGAGATTATTCAATAATAAGTAATTGAGCTGTTTTCAAATATTGAATGCCTGGATAAACACAAGAAAAGAATCAATCCAGATCCCTACCCTCTTACTGTGTTTCCCCAAAAATAAGATCCTGTCTTATATTTTTTTGAACCCCAAAATAAGTGCTTGGCCTTATTTTTGGGATGGCCTTATTATTTTTGGGCATGTAGAGCAAGACGGGGCTCCTCTTGCCATCTTTCCAGCTCTGTCTCCCTAATCCTAACCAAAGGAAATGGTGGGGACCGGCTGCCCATGCAGTTAAGTATTTTCAGAGAGGGCTTATTTTCAGGGAGGGCTTAGTTTTGGGGGGGGGGCTTAATTTAGTGCATGTGCTCAAAAGCCTGATTGGGCTTATTATCAGGGGATGTCTTATTTTCGGGGAAACGGTATATTGCTATTAAATGATTATTTTTATGAAAAGGGAGGTAGAAATTAGTTTGCTCAGTGGAAAGTTAACTTAAGTTAATCTTAACTTAAAAGTTCAGATTGCATGATTTAATGATTAATAAAATAAAATCTTCTGGAACTCTAAAATCCATAATGGTCCAGCCTAGTTAATTTCTTCCAGTATTTTCAAATATGTAGCATACTGTTAAGATAGCAATAGCAATAGCACTTAGACTTATATACTGTTTTAACAGTGCTCTCTAAGCAGTTTACAGAGTCAGCCTATTGCCCCCAACAATTTGGGTCCTCATTTTACCCACCTCGGAAGGCTGGAAGGCTGAGTCAACCTTGAGCCTAGTGAATTTTAATCTGCCAAACTGCAGGCAGCTGGCAGGCAGCAGAAGTAGCCTGCAGTACTGCACTCTAACCACTGTGCCACCACAGCTCATAATTGCAGAAACAATTGGGAATATTGAAAGACTTGATTGCAATTCAGAACATTTGCTGGGCCTTATTTATAAACTACTAGTGAAGCATCACTCAGAATCTCAGCAAGTCAAAGACCGCATGATTAAATAGATATAACATTTGAATGCAGTAATAGAGATATAATAATGGGAATTTTAATGGAGGAACATTAAATTCACCTGGATTATTATACTCAGAGCAAATTGGTATAAGATGTTAATATATGGCTCCAGTCTTGCTTGTTAAAATGGACCATTGATTTTTCAAAAAACTGGAAATGTAATGAGTAAGTTGAATCACTTTTTCATATTTGGTGCCAATATGATAAAGCTCAACAGTTCTGGAAAATGATTGATGCTGGGATGAAGACTTCTAAAAAAGTGAATTCACATTTCAGTTATGATACGGTAGCCTGCAACATTCTTATTCAACTCACTTTACCCACTCAGACACCCCTTCAAAATATACTGAATTAACTTGTATATGGCAAGTGCTGCAAGGATATTATATGTTTTCTTTTTAAAAGGTTGTTTGATTCCCCTCAAAGTTGTTTGTTGTTTTTTAAATTGTAAGCTGCCCAGAATCATTTATCAGTTGGGCAGCTTATAAATCATATTAAATAAACTCAAACTGGAAATCATCATTTAGACCTACATCTAAATACCACATCTACAGTTTGGGTGCACTTTGCATATCACGTCTACAGTTTGGGTTCACTTTGCATAGAATTGATGTTTAAAATTTCTGTATCAGAATGGTAATATTCTTAGTAATATAGACTGAATTATTGAATTTATTACAACTCATAATTTTATTTGGTGATTTATGCTGTAATGACTATAATGCTTGATATTCAGCCAGTAGTAGGTTTCAATTTCAGCCGCTACTGGTTCACTTGTGGGCGTGTACACGCTCGTGCTTGCGCGTGACGCTTCTGCACATGTGCAGAGATGTCTGGGCGGGTGGGCAGAGCCTCTGGCTGCCGCTACCAGTTTGCCCGATCTGGGGCGAACTGGTAGCAACCCACCACTGTATTCAGCCATACTTAAAGTTTAATAAGGATTCTTAGTCCTTTAAAGTGATACGGTAAGTAATCTATTGATTTTTTTAAAGCTAATCATAATAATTGTGGGTGCTCCAACACTGGAAGTTTTTAAGAAGAGATTGGACAGCCATTTGTCTGAAATGGTTTGGGTTTCCTGCTTGAGCAGGGGTTGGACTAGAAGACCTCCAAGGTCCCTCCCAACTGTTTTTCTATTACATATTAGAGACCTATAACCTTTATGATTTTCTAAATCCCTACTTTATTTAAATTTATTTTATTCTTTTATTTTTTATGTCTCTTTTTGGAATCTTTAAAATGTATTTTCTTTAAATTGGTTGATAAAAAGAACCCTCCTCCCCAAAAATGTTGTGGATAATGAAAAAAGAATTCAGGCAATTAAGAATCAATGCAGCACAACTGAAACTGAACATGGTTGAATTTGATTCAAAATTACCATCTAAACAGCTCTGTAGAGAAAAACATTTATATTTAGCTTGTTTGAACTTGTTTCTCAGAAAACAGTAAAAAACCCAATGTATTCTGTAAATATCAACAGACACATTGTGACAAAAAAAAAGAAAGCAAAGTTAGTACTAATAGTAATAGGTCCCTTGGTGTAATCCCAAAACATCTAGAGCACCACTTGAACACCACTGGCATCGACAAAATCACTATCAGTCAATTGCAAAAGGCAGCTTTCCTTGGAAAAAGCTTACATTCTGCAATGATCCTCTTACTGCTACCAAGCAACATCCGCCTCTCCCAGGTCTTTGGGAATGATTTGACAGGTGGATAAAAGTGCCAAATCGAGTCTGACCATCTGGCTGACAGTGTGACCAATCACAATCACAATAATTCATTATTTAATCCTGCCTTTTAATTTCAATACTATTAGGAGTATGACAATGATAAAAAGATTTAAAATGTGAAGAACAGTAGCAAGAATAAAGATATAGTAACATGAATAAAGAATCTAAGGACAGTTGCAGCATAAAACCAGCAGCATCCGGATTGTAATAGTAGACAACACGTCACAACCAAGAACTGTCTTTCTTTTCATTTACTGCATTAAGTCGTGTGTTAGAATTCAGATGATTTTTTAACCATCTCTGCTATTTTACTTGATCTTTATTGACACCTTTCCTTTCTCTTTATTTCAGGGAGTGAGTTTTCTGGAAGTCCGTACAGTCACCCACAATATTCAACATACAATGATTCCTGGAGATTTCCTAACCCTGGATTGTTAGGTAAGTTTGTTGTCATACCATTAAAGCCACAGCCTAATCCAAAATTCAGGAGAGCAATAATCTGTCCCCATGTGCCCTGTCCAATGTACTCTTGAGGACCTTATGACCATGCAACAGAATGCAATCCATGCAACCACCACCTAATGCAGTATTGCAGGCTAGCCCCCTGCCCACTGCCAGGAATTTGATCCTGATTGCCTCAAGGTTGACTCAGCCTTCTAGCCTTCCAAGGTCGGTAAAATGAAGATGCAGGTTGTTGGGGGGCAATATGCTAACTCTGTAAACTGCTTAGAGAGGGCTGTAAAGCACTGTGAAGCGGTATATAAGTCTAAGTGCTATTGCACTTATATTTTATATATTTTATATTTTAAATTTTATGTTCTTGTGCCTGTAGTTATATCTATGCATAACATTTTAATAATGATGCTTCTGATAATAATAGAACATAGAATCATAGGGCTGGATATAATAATAATTTGCTTTGAAATGTTCTGGAGTGCCTTCTCTATAGCTAAACAGTATATGCAATGTTTAATCACCAAATTACATAGACCAGAACTGATTAATTTACAACCCTTTCACTCTTAAATTTTAACCTGAAGTCTCTTTGTTTTTAGTTGAATTCACTTTCAAGTACTTCTTGTTGTTTAATGTAAATGTGAGAGATAGGAATGGATTTACAACTGGGTATATAATTGCTTTCTTTCAACAATCCATAATTAAGATATTCATATTCTGACATCACAACAAACATCTCAGATGGCATCTGCCAAGGTTTTCTGTGGTTCACTCTCAGTCTGCCATGGTTATTCAAAGATGAAAGGAGTTTGAAAAAGCGATCTCTGCTGCAGTCTGCTGTATATAATTGTTTCCCCTTTTGCTTTTGGCACACAGCATACAAAACAGCATACAAAACAGCGCAAAGCCCCATGTAATAAATTTAGCCATAACTGGCAGGGGTATAAAAGAAATGTAGCCTATGGGAAGTTGAATCCATTCTCATATTACGCCTAACTCTCCCAAGTTATTGGCTTTATTCATGTTATGCCTGCAGGCTTTATTAAGGCTCCACTGTGATTTGGAATTAATTTGAAGAAATGCATTAAAATGTTTGGAAGTATGAATGCTGAACCTGTCTGCAACTCATTAAAGCAACCGTGTCATTTCCATGAAGGGACAGACCACTGCATGTTTTACTTTTAACTGCATGTTCTAAGCACCTCTTCCAAATCAAATCCAAGACAGTGCATCCCCTTAGTGTTTTCTGGGTAGTTTTCTGGATTCATGTCTCAATTTTTAACTTAATGTAGAAGAAATTATATTACTTTTGCATATGTTTCATCATAGTGCTGGCTGAATATATGCCTCTTTTGATCTTTTGGGATTCAGTAAAGATGATGCTGTTCCAGTAGAAGAGAGCAGCATAATTTATATTTACAAATGAATAGCCTTTCTTCAGGATCTCTTCTTTCCTCTTTAAACTGGTTTCCCTCCCATTTTGTTCTTTATTAGATGTTTAGTATCCAGACACATAGGAGAGATTTTGACGCATGTAATTTTGCAATAAGACAGAATCCAAATGATTCTGGAAAAAAAACCTGCCTTACAGACCCTTGGAAGTCCCTAAGTAACTCACCCTCACCCTCCTTTAATAAGGAGGATAAGCAACATCCATTTTACGCCACTGTCAAAATCTGGCCCAACTTGACCTTACATGTGTGTAGCACATGGTGATTAGAATTCTCCTGCATAATCTATGTGAATGAGGTAAGTAAAATACCAATTAATTGTCACTTCTCTAGCAGAGAGATATTGTGCCTTAGAGACTTTCAGATTTATGGATGGCAAGGTTGTTATGTGTGACCTCTAGCAGAGAAATAATTTTGAATTTTTGTCATTTTTTAAAATTCAGTTTCTTTGTTTTAAGTAATTGAGTCCCTAAGTAATTGATCCACCTAAGATCTACCCATCACATTTCTTGCCCTTAAACAAATCCTTTGGGAGGAATTGATGGGTTATAGCATTCTGTGTCACACTGCTTTTTACAGTACAAAATTGCCATTTACTGTGCTGTAACTAAGGGTCTGGTGTTGCTCACAGCTCAGATCAGAAGCTGTTTTCTAATACTATTTCAGCACATACTCAACTCAAGGCCAACTAGCTTGACATAAAATGGACTATAGCTACTTACAAAAAGCATGAAGGATACCTCTTGGGACTGGTTCCCACAGATACAAGTACTTATTTCCTTGTTTGTTACTTGCTTGTTACTCCTTACTGATCGCCAAGAAGTGTTTCGCTACATATGCAACACAGTGAAATACAGTAGTAGCTTCCTGAGGTGTAGATTAAACTAACTCAATTTGGATCCTAGTATAGCTATCATTTTTATCACCCTAAACTGTCTGCAAGTGGCTAATCTCATAGTCTGTCTCGTGCTAGCAATGAATACAATGAGTACTGTTTATAAGTAACCACAATACGAGTAGTATTTAATTGGATGCAATAATTGAAACACATTCAACAACATATCTTATCTGAACAAATCAGCTTCTCTAGCCAGATATCTTTCATAGATTTCCTTGCCTATATTTTCTGTTCCAGAAATATGAGTGGTTTTTTGGGGTGGGGGGGCTATGTCTGTGCGAATTTACTATATCTATCGCACATTTCCCAGTTTTATTGGAAATGATCAATTTCTGGACAAAAGACAATATAACAAGAAATGTTTAAAACTTTCTCCTAAAACCATCTATTTCATAGGGTCTGATATACAGTATTTCTGAGAGTTAGGGTAGTATATGAAATACAAACCCTAATCGGTTATTAATATTGCAGTTTTTTCTGTGCAGTATTTTGAAGAGCTTTTAAAATTAATTAACTAAAACAACAACACCAAAAGGAAATTTGAATACACAAAATTATAAAAGAAAAAAAAAGTTGAACACCCCTAAAAAAGCATACAAGATGCATGCTTTGTATTTACAAACATCAGTTCACTGAAGCCATGATTACTTACAGTTATCCATAACTATCTATTTTGATCCATTCTGTAGATTCTCCTTGTTTTCCTTGCCAGTCAAACTGTCCCCAGTTACATGCAAGACAGCATCTAATGTTATTGTTAAAGTGGAGAAGGCTGATGCAAGGAAATAAAAGAAGCATCATATTTATAAAACACTTGAGTTTATCACTGTTCAAGCAAGGGAGCTAATGTGCAAGAGTAGGGATTGGATTTAATCAGATTGCTTTTGGGGCTAATATTAGAAAACAATCCCTGTACATACCACCTTGAGTTGTCAAAAATAAGGAAATATATTATTGCAAATTATTATGATATAATATGATAAATTATTATTTATATTGATTTGGGAAAACAATGGTACTCAATACGCACTATACAAATATAATACAATTCTCTTCTCTCATGTTCGAAATAGGATGGAAACTGATGGTTTCAAGCTTCAATATTTTAAGCTCTTAGGAAAACTTTTCTTGGGTTTTTCTCGGTCTTCAGCTACAGTTGGATATTGGTTAAGGCATACGTTTTTTCTGAATTGGATGTTTGCTAGTAAAGTTTGCTACTTTATTATTGAATGATTTAGGGAAGGCACCTTATAGACAAAGTGCAGAAGCTTCAGTATGCAGGTGTCAGGCAAAACGTGTCTTGGAGATTCTCAGTCATCCAGGTCACGGTTGTCCCAAAGATGCTTTTCCATAAGGCAACTGGACTTTGTTTTTTTTCCTTGAAGAGGTTTCACTTCTCATCTAAGAAGCTTCCTCTTGCTCAAAACTGAAGAAGCTTCTAGGATGAGAAGTGAAAAGTTTTCAAGAAAAAAACCAAGAAAGTCCAGTTGCCTTTTGGAAAAGCACTTTGGGCCAGGTAAAACATGTATTTCTCTTTGGAGGAGGACAAGTGAGGATTTCTTATAACTTCTTTCATGGAAAATGGTTAGGATTAGGGAGCAGAATTCAAACAGTGTCACAAAATGATGTCAATGAACTCCTGGTCCCTGACAGCATAGAGTTGTTAGGATCTAGTGGGAGGAGCTGGATCTGTTCTTATGGCAAAATGCATCCCAGCATAAAAGAAGGGATTGGGAAGGAGAAATTGGGGAGATGAGTATTGCTTAATTTTACAAAAGTACATTCTATAAAGAATTATATGCCAGAAACCTAATCTGTTTTACAAACAGAATATATACTTGCCACCAGAATCTTGTTGGAGGGCTGGAGATATACAAATAAAGTAGACAAATGTATTCAGTTGGTAAAGAAATCTTATTGCTTAGGCCAATTCAAGAATCAGTTTCCAATTGGCTCAGCTTCTGAATCTAGGATCACTCATGATTTTGACTACAGGTAGTCCTTGACTTACAACAGTTAGTTTAGAGATTGTTCAAAATTACAATGGCATTGAAAAAAAATGACTTATGACTGTGTTTAATGTTTGCAACCATTGCATCATCTCCCCCAAAATTCCGATGCTTGACAACTGACTCATGACAGTTGCAGTGTCCTGGGGTCATGTGATCACCTTTTGCAACCTTCTGACAAGCAAAGTCAATGGGGAAGCCAGATTCACTTAACAACCATGTTACTAACTTAACAACTATAGTGATTGACTTAACAACTGTGGCAAGAAAGGTGGTTAAACAGAGGAAAACACATTTAACAAAAATCTGTCTCATACAGCAACAGAAATGCGGGGGTCAATTGTGGTCGTAAATCAAGGACTACCTGTATATTCAGAAGAGGAACCATTTTGCCCTTATTCTAGCTTGTACTTTTTAGGTAGAGTAGGATAAAGGACCAGCAATAATTTGAATAGGGCAGGGATTGAATGCAGCTATTGTCCAAGTGAACAACCTGGAGAGACCATCAATGAGTTTCTAGGTGGTTTTGAGATCAGGAATTGAAGAAATTGGCAAATCAGGAATAAATTACAAAACAAACAAAAAAAGAGATGGAGGAATAGAAATGGTGGGGTGGGAGTAGAC